CTACATTGGCGAAACAGGCAGACCTCTGGCCGTGCGGCTCCAGGAACATAGGCATAACCTAAAAGAAGGTCTTCTAGAAAAATCTAAACTAGCCCAACATGCCTATGAAGAGGGACATAGGGTAGGCTGGGATGAAGTTTCCGAAACATCGTGTTTTTATTTGTTATCTTAAAAACCAGGACGATAGATAAAGTCCAAAAACCCCATATATCAGTGTGTTATACACTATCGTCAGAATCCTATAGTAACTAATCCTCAATTAAAGTTTGTGTTCTTTCTTTATGGTATCTATATTATCACCCAGTAGATTCACATAATCAGCACAGACCAACAGCTGATGTGTCCCATTTAATTTCAGTCCCATCTGGTTTTCCTGGACCTTCCTAATGGTATATTCTAAAGCAAAGCTGAAAAGCAATGGCGATAAAGCATCTCCTTGTTTTGGACCACTTCGGATAGGAAAATTGTCATACAAACTTTTACCTATTGTAGTTTACTATATATTTCATTTAAACATATACTACCATTTAAAACACAACCCAAACAACAATCACATATGCTGTATACAAATTAAATCAGAAGCTATTCCTCCTGTGTAATGACCTCTCCCAAATTTTCTCATTACAGTTGAGTCAGTGTCACTCTGGTTGCTAGACTGCTACCATGGCCAATTGTGCAGCAGCTCTGCAGGTGTAAGCAAGGTGTATTCATGAGCTGAATTTGTGTTTATTTTTGAATGAATATTACTTCATGACAGAATTGTCTGCTGCTTTGTGTGAAACACTTAACAAAGCATACCATGGCAGGGAAGTACCAAATAAGACAGCAGTATTGACGTCATCTGTGAGTTTGCATATAATGTTGTCAGTCATGTTGTGATTTAAATGGTACATGCTGCATATTATCATCACCATTTCCTGCATGAGGACTACTGAGACCTATTAGGTACAGTACAATCTTGGTAATCCGGCCGTACACTAGTCCGGCACCTTCAGTAATCTGGCATCAGGTGCCAGATAGGCATCTGCGACCTTGCGCAGGGTTTATAGGCAGCAGAGGTTGACTTGTGTTCAGTAGAGCTTGACAAACTGATTTATTTAGACTCTCACTAATACACAGTGTTTCACTTCTTCAATATTACACATTCCTGTACAGTATTTTTCATACAGTGGTGGATTTAACATGTGCTGAAGATGTCCAGTTCTGACAAACGTAAACATAAAATTTTAAATGCTAAAGTGGAAATAATTAAGAAACTTGACAAAGGTGAAAAACTTATGAATTTAGCTAAAGAGTATGGTGTTTGATGTGCTACAATATGCGATAGCTAGAAAAACAGAGAGAAAATTGAGTACAACTTAATAAATTTGTTTTGACTTTTTCAAGCAATCTGTCATTTTTGATAATCCAGTGGTACCTTTGTCCCACATATGTCAGATTACCAAGACTGTACTGTATATTAAAAAACAGAATCCTTCGGTCATTTCAGAAGTCCTTTTAATTATCTTTCTCCTTCTGGTTTATAGCCTAATATTACTTTTTAGAATCCTGAGTCAAATTACTGTTTTTCAGAACTTATTACCAACATTAGCTAATTTTAACTGCTATATACAGAACAATGATGAAAATCCAAAGGCAGATTGAGCTGATCAGGTCAGGTTTGGTTGGGTTAGGCTAAGGTGAGAAGATTGATTATCAGGAATAAAAATGCACTGTATGGAATTTAAATCTGTGATAGATTAAAAGCCAACATTTTATCAAAATGACAAATTCACCCTAGCAAACATCCTGTTTGTGATACATAATTATATATAACTGTATATTTCCTCCAAATTATTTTGATATTTAATAAAATATGATGAATGCATAATATTTTTCAAAACTGCATGCATGTCAATAATTATATAGTTTTATTTACATACCACAATTGTGTGAACAGCTCCAATTCGGGAACAAGCGAGCATTGCAATTACCACTTCAAGGATCATAGGCATATAGATCGCTACCCGATCCCCTTTTGAGACTCCTTTTGACTTGAGAACATTGGCAAACCTGCACACTTCCTCCAACAGCTTCTTGTAAGTAAGTCTGCTGTAGTCCTCAGGGTCATTCCCCTCCCTGAAATTATAGAATGAAACAATAAAAACCTGTAAATACCCACCTGGACAGATTTGTTAAACGGATAATTTGTGTAGGATTTGAGGTTCTCACACCAGCGGTTATGAAGAGTACTGTATTCTGGGATATAACGCTCTGTAGTCCGTTGAGAGTTAGCCGACATTTTTGAGGAACATGTCGCTTCCAACTTCAGGGTCGAATAAGTCCACAAGATACCAGGGTGAAAGCAAGTGGCAATAAGAGTAAAAATTTGTGGTCCAGGCCACTGACTCTGAAGATATATTAGCATAAATGTTCAAACATCAGCATAGGCTACTGTTTATAATTGCTTCCCCCCACTATCACCGGCCTCTCCCCTCCTCTTGCACCTTCTTGTTGTTCTTACTCATTCTCCCTTCTCTCTCCATCCTCCTCAATCTCTCTCCTTCTTCTTGAATTCCTCACCCTCCTCTTCCTTCTCCCCTTCTCTTTCGTTTCCTTCCCTTCTTCATGTTTAATTTTCTCCTCACCTTCCTATCATCATCATCAGCAGCTGCAGCAGTTACCACTGTTTCCATTGTATACTACTGTTTAAATTGCTTTTTTCTGTCCTGCATAACCACGTTTTGTTGTGCTCTAAATTCTGAAAATTACTGCCTTGTGGGACGTGACACAGTGCAGTGTGGTAGGTACTTACTAGCATTTTGGAGGAGCCTGTTGCTTTATGGAAGAGGGCACACTCCATTTCCCCTGAAGATAGAGACAGAATGTTGGTACTCAACCATCAGAAGATGTGGTGTCATAATCCAGAAGGCCACAATATGAATCTTCACCACAGTGAAAACCTTAAATCTTGTATTTACAGTAGTATTTCACACTTGCAGCCAAACATTTACAAACATAGACTTCAAAATTAACTACCTGCAGTGACTGAACAACCTGTTTGGACACGCAGAATTTACATAACTTCTTATCAGACCTTTCAGTAATGAACTTATGCAAGCAAGCATTTTTATGTTGAACATTAGTGTCCTGAAGCAGTGACTATGAACACTACCACCTTCTGGGAAGTCATGCCATGTAGTCAGCTAGAAGTATACCAATGTTTCGGAAGAATATACTGCCTCTTTCATCAGGACAAAAGAGATGGCCAAGCAACCTGAAAGCAAGGCATCCTTGCTGCTTACTTGACTTACTCTTCAACTCTGAAGAAAGAGGCGGTAAGTTCTTTCACAACATCGGTGTACTTCTAGCAGACTACATGGAGTAACATTCCTGATGATAGCTCTTCTCATCATTCTTATGTCTACCAGTACTGCGCCCGTTTTCTGTTTCACCCATCTACTGACAATAGGTACACAAGGGCTGGAAATGGAGGCAGAACTAGTAGACTCCATTTACTTAGTTCCAGGGAACTTCATTTTGAGGATGCTGTTTCTAATGCGTTAAGACGCCATAACTATCGCTCCCAACAACGATATATCAGACAAAATTCACGAGCCTACTTTGTAGTAATTTCTTTTATTATTTCTTGATCACTCTCCAGGCGGTTTCTATTGATCTGTAGCATCTATCTAGTTCTGAACAGTAAGTGGCAAGCTCCTCCAATATGCCAGTTTACTTCCAAAGGACCATATGGCGTTATATTCCAGAAGACAGAGCCCCTCATAATCGCAGCTGTAAGAACCTCACATCCTCATTTGAGGTCAGAGTTATATTTGAGAATTCCTTTAGTTTATGGTGAAGTTTTGATCTCATAGAAGATCCTGAGATTCTCAACCAGGAAAACACAAGTCAGGCCCGAAACTTTTGCACTTTTCAAACAGCAGTACACAAGGACTCCTACGTATTTACTTATAATATTTGTTCATATACCTGACATTTACAGTGACATACAAATAATGGACATGAAAAATCTTCAGTCAGCCAACTGTTGCAATGTCATCCACACAACCCTGACTCCAATCTTATAAATTAATTTCATCTGTCCACAAATTGCTGACAGCCCAGAAAGGGTGTAAAATCAGGAATATAAAACCTTCCAAATGAGATTTAACATCTGGACCGCCTTGTGGTCTAGTGGGCAGAGGTACTGGCTACAGATGCAGAGGTTCCAGGTTCGATTCCAGGCACTACCAGATTTTCTGAGAAGTAGTGGGTCTGGAACGCGGTCCGCTCAGCCTCGTGAGGATAACTGAGGAGCTAGCTGAATGGAAAAGTAGCGGATCCGGTCTAGAAAACCGAAATTAACAGCCGTGGGGATTCGCTGCGCTGATCACGCGACACCCTCTATCCGCTAAAGTTGGCACTAACTTCTCCGACAAGCGGCGGTCGATCGATCGGTATAGTTCGCTTGCGAACTAAAGCCACGGATTTTTTTAAAGATACATATAGACGTAAATCCATACATATCATTTACTGATGATTCAAACAGATGAACCAATGAAGTATGTGGATAGTAAATTGATTGATTAATTTAATGCATTCTATTAATTTCACTAAACATCAGGAAGTAGAATAAGTCAAGATAAAACAACTATAATGGATTTAGACAGTATGATATTACACTAACACATCAGTTAAAAGAGAATAATTCCGACAACCAATCATGCATTTGTTTCTTAAAATACATTCATGTTGGATAGGTATATAGGGCACATATAATGACGACGCTCCATAATCGTACATAATAATTACAGCTTCTGTTTCGCCTACTCACAATCAATCACACCATCATAACATAACCTACACTATAAAAAATACAGAATACAGGTTTCAAGAAGTTCTTCTAAATAAGAATTTTCAATAAAAATAAGGACGGCTGACGACAGAGAGACTACTGTTGGCAGATTCGCCCACCAGAACAATTAACATTACTTGCAACCAGCGCTACATCGCTCTATCGGCATACTGTGTTGTTCTAATCACACTCAGCGTCATTACGAGACATTATCGGGGATGTTCGGCCCCTTATCTCGGTTTGCTTTTTGCTTCTTTCTTTTTTCTTTATTTGCTTCTCAATCAATCTTGTTTTTATTAATCAAGGTTGCGGTTAAAATCTCGACCCTAAAACTAGCTATTGTGATTGAGGTTCTTCGTGATTTTACTTAGTCTCTTCAGGTATATTCAAGTACCGTACCTTGATATAAACCGAAAGGTAATCCCTACTAAATATATCACTCACAACAATCCTACCATTCCAGCTTAAAAAGCATTGTTTAACAAAGCAATAATTAGCGAATCACAATCGCTGGGCACACGATATACTTGCAGCAATGACGGAAAGAGGTAAGAAGGAGGAATAAGATGTCCTTACACTTAAAGGTTAAAATAGGCCACGCCATAGCTCAAGCGGTTAGTCGCTGGCTTCCCAACGCGGCGGCCCGCGTTCGATCCCTCGTCTTGTCAAGTGGGATTTGTGGTGGAGAAAGTGGCGCTGGGGCGGGTTTTCTCCGAGTACTTCGGTTTCCCCTGCCAATCTTCATTCCACCAAAATCTCCATCATCATAATCACCCGTGGTAGGTACAATAGGCCAATCAGTGGCCGCCGTGCCAAGTGGACCCAGCTGGACTGCAGCCCCCACTAGTGAATTAAAAAAAAATTATAGGTTAAAATAAGGTGCCATGTTTATCATAGAGTAACTAAGATGGGTGGTGGAATGGGGAGGAAACGGCAGTGACGCATTCTAATGACAATTCCTTACCACGTACCCGACAAAAAGAGAACCAAACGAAAAATCTCAAGTTAATTCATCCCTCCAGCCATTCGAATCGGATTTATTTGTACCACGAAATGTGGAAGATGGTGCGTCATCGTCAGTGATATACGCCGTTACGTCATCATTAGAATGTTCCTAGACTCTCTTTTCAAACTTACTTCCTGTAATTGTATGCAGCCGGGGAATGCTGACACCAGTTGTCACGTTTCTAGGGGTGTGAATATGCAGACGGGGTATGGATTGGAGAATGGATTTATTGACCAATTATACACACCATTCGGAACTACAAGTAAGTATAAAACTACCGCTGATTTCCACACTACAAATCACTCCACGCTAAGCCTTCTCAGTCTGCTTTCAGTAGTCGTTACTTGGTAACAGCTCTGAACAATGGCTATTACTCAGCAATGTTTTCACTAGACGCTTCTTTGTAATGAATCTGGACAATGAAGATTCTTCAGCTTCCATGTTCATGCCTTTGCTCTCTGATTAACCAACCAATTACTTAACTTCACTTCTCTTCACTCAACTGAACTGAACTGCTCTCAGCCGGACTTCGGTCCTTGCTCAGCAGAAAACCCGCCTCCAGAAATCCCTTTATTTTTGTTATGAGTGGTTGCCTAGCAATAGCTCGGTTATTTTTGATGTGTTTTCCGACCGTTACCAAAGGAACGCATGTTTCCTCTCGCGATCGTTGCATAGCAACGGTACTACATGTTACATTACTCTTACGTAATGTTGCCTGAACAAGGTATGACGTATTCTTGTCTGTAGAATAGATGACCTTTATCACAGCTGACATATGTGTTATTATTATATATATACATATGTGTGTAGAACATATTTTCCTTTACGAGCTAGACTGATAATGAAAATGGCTATACAAACCAAATAAATCAAAAAGAAAACGAGAACAGCGAGTTTTTCAAGCATATAATTCTGTATGCATAGGATAGCACGTCAGAAACTGGGTTTACTTGATTTTTGCAAACACTACCTGAGGTCATTTCCATTTGTGTAATTATGTTTAACGTGTATTTTCTTCACCTGCACATTGTGGAAAAACTTATACACATGTATAAACACATTCTAGTTTAGAATTTTTTTTATTGCTAGTGGGGTGGGACTAAGTCCGTTGTACTGGGCCACTTCTGGCCTATTGTACCAGCCCCAGATGATAGGTGAGGGTGATTGTGGAGCAATTGGTGGAATAAAGATTGGCAGGGGAAACCGAAGTACTCGGAGAAAACCTGCCCCAACGCCACTTTGTCCACCACAGATTCCACTTGACCAGAACCGGGA